AGCTGGGACCCTAACAGGTGCTACCACACCGGGTCGGATTGGACCTGGGAACACCAGCAATTAAGAGGTGGTTCTCCACACTTTGCAAAACCTCCAGATCAGAGGCCTTGCTGTCGGATGTAGTCTATCGTCTTACCCAGGACGCTGCAGCCGACAGGACGATCAAAAAATAGTCCGGTCGAAATAGGAAGATGATTATAATATTTAACGTGCTCAAGATAACTGGGGAAAATATTGAATCAATGAAGAAGATTTTGTTATAAGGTCACTAATTTCGTTTCAAGTCAAAAAATCTAACCAGACACGGATAAGAATATATGTACATATGTCTACTTATTCTCGATAGGGTCCTTTCATATTCGCAGGCAAGATTTTTGTGAGGTTATTAAATGACGAAAGGAAAACAACGTGTTGGCTGATAGTGTATTTATTTCCGAGTACTTTCGACATAGCATAATGTCATCGTTAGTGATTTCAATTTGCCTTCTCATGAGGCTACATTTGAAATTTTCAGATGTCGATGTTCCGGTGAGCTGCTGGATCGAGTAATTGGAAATGCGTACATTTCGGCTGCATATTTCATTACGACAGGTTTCATTAAATAATTTAGACATGTTCTGTCTACTTATTCTCGATAGGATCCTTTCATATTGGCAGACACACACACACACACACACAGACACACACAGAGACACACACACAGACACACACAGACACACACACACACACATATATATATATTCAGTCTTATGGATATGAGTTTGTAACCTTTTTCGATCAACAGACAAACTGATTTATTTTTTAAAAATTTGAATCTCTTTATGATTGTGTATGATTATGTTTGCTGCGTGGGGGAGAAAATTCCTCCTCTGTGTCCATTATGGGATGGCACCCATACGCACTCAGACATACATACATACAGGTGTATGAATTATAGTTCACATAAGCGTACACATATATAAACAATGCAAGAACAGGCGTAGACATATAACCATTTGTTTGAGCACAGATACATACGCAATTGTAATCCTATTTCTGTGTTGAGACTGTGTGTAGCGAAGTTCTTTCAACAAGGGGTGGCGGGGCTGTTCTTGGCTCTATTCAGATCGGCCGTTTGTGTAATCAAATGGAATAAGACTTCTTCACACACACATACACACATGTGTAGGTGCATATATAGTTCTACTTGCTTGGGCCCTACATCATCACACTGCTTAAAGGGTTCTTTATGTGAATATGACGGTGATGATGATGATTTTATTTTTAACGCTGACGACTGCAATTATATTGATAATGATTTTTTGATTGATATTCTAATTGGTAATAATAGTTATTGGTGTGTTAACAGTAAATTTATGGTAACAATAGTTATTGGTATGCACACACACACACATATATATATATATAGAGAGAGAGAGAGAGATAGATAGATAGATAGATAGATAGAGAGAGAGAGAGAGAGAGAGAGAGAGAGAGATAGATGTTAGGGTATTCGGGCGTTCATGGATGAGTGTGCCTTATATATCAGATTTAGTCAAGTACACTAATAGCATTATAGACTAATTTTTATACATTAGCAACACACGATGGAGATGAAAAAAATCTCCTTTCAAAATTTCCACATAACTTTAATATTATATATATATATATATATATATATATATATATATATATATATATATATATACGCGCACATACAAATAGTATTGAAAGAGAGGGAAATATATATCATTATACAATACATATTTGTTTTTTGGAGTGGGTGGGGGCAGAGATTTTAATTCGAAAAGAATATAGAGACACACGTCGAGTGGGAGAAACAGAAAGAGGGGCAATGAGAGAAATAGAGAGGCACACGTAAGATTCTCTTATTCCGCCAACACCTTCCTTCGTCTATGTCGACCTCCGTCACCATTCCCAAACGGTGGGTCAGGCCAATATCTCAGCGGTTGTTCCGAAGACATAAAAATTGCTGAAACTCTCTTGGCCCATTGTGATTTGCTTGTCTGTCTGGCGCCAGTTGAACTGGTTAGGTCCACCCCTCATCGTGTTCAGGTCAGCGATCAAGGCATTAAACTTAGATATCGATACTCTTTCGACTGATGATATAAATGAGTGGCCTTGTGGAATGAGGGGTTCGGATAAAGAATGAAGGGGGATTATAAAAATATAAGGCAGAAAAAGAAAAAGTGTGTGGGTGCCAATCAAGTGCACAGAACTTATTTGTATCGTAATCGCAATCTACTTATATATATATATATATATATATATATAAGTAGATCAGTATGTGTGTATATATGTAAGTATATATGTGTGTGTGTGTGTATATATATATATATATATATTTGCGTGAGTTTGTGGGCAACAGAGTGTAATTGTGTAAAAGTTAATTTTAACATAGACATAACTGTATAAGCACACACACGTATATATATATATATATATATATATATATATATATATATATATAACAATATATACATCTAACAATAATACATTACATTTGTTCACAGTTTTTTCACAACCAGCATTATATATATATATATATATATATATATATATATATATATATATATATATATATGAGTTTGTATGTAACAGAATATTTTAACACTGACATGGGAGCATATACTAATAATTGCATAATATCTATCTATCTATCTATCTATGCGTGTATATGTATTATCTTACAATATTGAAACAAAAACATGTTAAAAATCGCTGCACAATGTCATTTATATTTCGGCATTACAAATGTGTCTCCTCGGACGATGTTAAACTATTGGCGAGTGAATGAATAATTTAATTTCTAAAGCAGAATACTTCCTCTTTTTTTTGAGAAAAAAGTAATTAAAAATAGGCTTGTGCGCTTTACCGTGATTAACCAATCGAATGTGACCTACGCTAAATTCAAACTCACCGAAAAAAAAATTAATATAGGTCATGACATGAAGTTGTCAGCATATAAATCCTAGACAACTTCATTATGGGCAGACAAATGGTTACATTATTTCGTAAGATGTAATGAATTCTGGCGTTAAACTTTCCTAACAAGTAAAAGCGAAAATGGGTAGGGAGGTAATTTAACAATATGCTAACTAGTGATATGCTTGCTCAGCTTCCTACATAAAATTTTGTAGTTGAGAAATAAAAGGCCCCTTTAAAAAAACTGGTAAATAACTTAACCGTTTAAAAAACAGATCATAAATACAAATCTACTTTGACAATTTAATATGCTGTTGATTAAAGAGCATCCATATAAGATGTTAATAATACTAACTACTCAATGTAAGATGTTAATAATACTAAATAAAAACCTGAAAATCCATATAAGATGTTAATAATACTAAATATCAATACAGAGCTATGTTAAATCAAAATGAATCTTACAAATAGAATAATAAGCCATATAAGTTGCATTGCAGTTCATCCACTGATTATTACTCTAAGAAAAAAATATTTTCAAATTCAATGTTTAAACATATTGTAAGGTAAAAGGTAGGCTATGCATACAGTTTACAGTCAATTCACTTCTTGGGTTTAATAAGGAGTTTTATAAAAAAATCTGATAATTTCTAATTTTTCATGCAAAGATAGAAAACAGGGTTCATTTAAAGATCTACGTGTTCTAGCTTTTTTTTTAAAAAAAAATCCATTTTACCTTAAGAGATTTATTAGCTTCTTTTAACTTACAAAAATTTTTAGGAAAAGATGTACTCTATTCGTGAAGGATAAGATATGTTGGTACCACCTGGTTTTAAAAGATTTCTCAGTACTACCCATATAAAATTTTTCAACAGTCGGATTTTCTATTGTTGAATTAAGAATTTTGTGTCGATTATTACAGACGATCGACTAAATTCGTTCTTCAAGTGTCGTCAATCACGATGAACGTTCATCGTGATTGACGACAGTTTGGGGTCTGTTCAGCGGTGATGGAATGCAAACAGTTTGGTTTTTAGAAGCATTGAATGTAACCAGACTGATAAGTTAGATTTAGATCGGAAGAATGGTCAGCTACCAATCTCTGATCATCAAGAATTTTAGAGATGCGCCCATATATCGTCGTATCATCGGTATAGATGTTTACAAATGATCGGAGTATATTCTTGGTTAGATCATTTATGTACATCAGAAAGAGTATTGGTCCGAGAAGTGACAGCTGGGGAACGTCTGAGTTGACCACCAGGGCATCGAAGGATCAGGCATTAATAACTACCTTCATGGATGTAGCTGTTAGGAAGGACTTTATAATAGAGAAAACCCTTCCAAGCAAACATTTGTGCCATACCGTGTTTAAGTCTTTCGAGATATGGTCCTTGACGTGTGTGTGACGTCAAGGGCCTCACTAATTCTGTGTGCAATTGATAGGTAGGACGTCAGCATATATTAATAGAACATCATCAATATATCGGAAGTATGTTGTTTGGGCAAAATATTTTGCAAAGGACCAGATTCGAGAGATTCATACGATTACTGCACTAAGAGGCGATCCCATTGTTACTCCAAATTTTTATTTGTAAAAATTATCATTAAATGTGAAATAGCATTGATTACTGATGAGTCGGCAGATTTTTATTATTTTATTGATTTTTTTTATTATATCGGATGATTTTTTTTAGGAGATTTAGACATTTTTCAAATGGGACATTGGTGTAGAGGAAATTTTATATCTAGGCTGGCCATGAGTTTGTCAGTCATGTTCATTTCTCTTAGATTTTCAACTAGGTTTCCTGAGTTCTTTATATGAGATGAACTGATTGTTCCAATGAGAGAGGTAAGAATTTTTGTATGGCTTTCGCTGGTTTCTGCGGGGTGGGGTGGGCTGCCTATTTCCGATATAATGGGGCGCATCAGGATACCTGTTTTGTTTTAAGGAGACCGTAAAGTTTGAGTGTTCCAGAGTGATATTCTATGGCTCTATACCATGATTTGTTTTCATTTTTAATTAGTTTCCTAATCTTGTAAAATTTTTGTATTTATTTTATATTCGTTTATTTTTTCTTATGTGTCGGTATCGTTGAGTAGTAAATTAATTTTTTTCTACGTATCTATTCTTGTTCATGATCCCAAAACCAGCCCCTTTGTCAGTTGGGGTGATGTTGATTTCCTTATATTTGCTAGTTTCCTTTGTGCATTTAGGTGTCTCTGCGGTCAGGTATTTCCGTTGTTGGCTTCTATAGTAGTAGTGATTATGCCTTGAATGAAACCTTTTGTAAATTCAGAGTTATTTTGTTTATGATTTTTTATTATAGTGTCTACTATGTCTTCTTTCCGAATTTCGGTAGCAAATTTTAAATCGAAGCTGGGGGCTTCCCCTTCTGTATTAGATAGTTTTATATCAAATAGGTTTTCTATTAGATCTGGCCTTCTAACATATTTTCACTTGCTGTTACTCCATAGGGTTTTGAGTTGAGTCTCAGTTTGTTGTTCTGATTTCATTTATTTGTTTCATCTTTTCTTGTAATCTTTTCTTTTTAGTGGTTAATTTTTTAATACTTCTAGTTCTTCAGTTGATGACTTCAAGAAATCGCATGTATAGGTTGGAAATATGCAGTGGATTTTTCTTAATTTATGTGTGCATCGTGGGATGATTTTTTTTCAGTTTCTAAAAGAATTGTTTTATATCGAGATTTTTATATTCCTTAAAAGTTTGGTAGTTTTTCACGTCGACGATATAAGATAACGAATATATATATTTTATATATCAAGAAAAATATAGGAAAAATGTATAACAATTCGGAAAAAGTTTACTTGTGACACGTTTCGTGCTTTAGGACGTCATCGGACTAAATATGTTGGTGCGACATGTGCACGAACGAGGGATGCTGGTAATTTTAAATTTAAATTTTTTTTTTAAATTTGTATAATCTAGCCGATTTCTTTAAGATTATTTTTCTTTTCATCACTTTTGTTATTAGATATCTCACACTGTGATAATAGCAGTTCTGCCAGGCATGGTGATATATTGTAAGAGCCAGAGTGCAAATTTACTGTGGATGACCTTGCGATAAAGGCACTCTCTAGACATTTTCATCGTTGTGAATTGTTTTCTCTTTTGACCAGTTGCATTTTTTATGCCAATTGGAAATAATCTAAACTCATCATAAAATTTGCTACTATTACATCTAAAAGACTTAATCAATATTAAGAAAACAATAAACTAAAACTTTACGGAGAAATTTACTCGATCGCCTGTAATGACTGTCACAAAAAGACATTTTACAAAACAATACATCAATACCTTCTCCCCTGTAACGAGACAGACCATAATTCTGACACAAAAAATGCTGAGAAGTATGACACGTACTGTTGTGGATTCCGAGATGAAATTCGGTCTCCAATGAATGACAAACGCAAGAATTAAGGATAAGAAATTAAATGTATTTACACAATAATACAATGAGTAATACTGTTAGTAAATCCAGGAACGCGGTTAGTAGCAATAACATATAGATATATACAATCTCGAAGTAGGACTTCCTTAGAGTCTACGTGCTTGTAACTGACTTCTACAAGCGGTTACCTCACACTATTACTCTACCTCCAACTCAATCACAATCTCAGTCTTCTTACTATCATTACTCACTCTGTACTCTGACTGACTCTGGGTATTTAACGGCAGCAGTCCAGGTACACTGGTATGTTAAAGGGAGGACCCCATAACACGTACATACATACACACACACACACATATATATATATATGTATATAAATAAAAAGAAAGAACAGTAAGATATAAAATATATATAGATATTTTATTTTTACAAAATATATGTAAATTTATATATATATTAATTGATTTAAAAATATGGTTATTTTCGCTACACAGTTCAACCATGTTTCAAAAATAGAAGCTAAAAACCCCTAATTTTAACCTCAAATAAATTTGGGTTAACTTTTAAAACTACGAAGCGAATTTTGTAACTTTTAAAATTTACCGGGTTTTAAATAAAAACGTTTC